AGAACTGTTATTAAAATCATCTTGACAAAAGAACTAATAGAAGCCCAAACAGAACAGAATCTTGGTAATTAGTTCTGTGTTGGAGCATGTTCAGAAAATTGGATAAGCTGCTTCACCCTTCTTTATTCCAAATTAGGTGAAAGATGTTCCCAAAATGTTTGAAAATTTAAGCTGATAGTGGTTTTCCTAGGCCTTGGAGCTTATGAGAATCCTAGAATACTTTTCAAAATAATATATATAATTAAACTGCTGAGTAAGGGAGGGTGATGTAAATCTGCTGTGTTCTCTATAGTAACTATTAGCCACATGCACCAATTGAAAGTCAGTTCCTTAGTTGAACTATCCACATTTCACATGTTCCGTAGTCTGGTGACTAAGAGGTACTATATTGTATAGCACAGATGCAGAAATTGGTCCTCACAAAAACCTCTATTGGACAGCACTTATCTAATGAATTCTTCTCACTTTCTGTGGAAGAATATCTTAATTATATATATAACTATTCTCATATACTAAAGAATATTTCTACCTCTTTCTTGTCTGGGACATGTTAAAATATCAGGCACCACAGAGGTTGTGAATCTATTTTTAAAAGTATAGGGAATCATTTAATGCTTTAACTTTATCTTATTACTGAAGGTGACTAGATAAAAACTTATTTTGCAAAAACTTCTACGACTTTGCTTCTTTTCAGTAATTATCAGAAAGTCGTTGTGCTCTTGTCTCACAGGGATGTTTCCGATATTAATTATAAGAAGTTTGCATTGCTACCAGGAGCGCAGTGCCCAGCTTCAGCCTCCATAGCTAAACGGAGTGGTCTGCCCTGAATTTGGGATTATCCTTGTAATTAAACTGAATCATCCAAGCAGGAAGAAAGGCATCTATCTTTGCAGATTTGACTCAGATTGGTTTTATGACCTAAAACATTTCAAGTAAAATTGTGTACTCACTATAAAGAGTAATCGTAAATGTTCATTCTTAATGCCATCCTTTTTAAAAACTTCCTTTGGGGTGGGTGCCATCAGAACATTCAGGGCATTAATGTGGGTTCTTTTTGACCAGAGTTAATAGTGAAAGATATATTTTAGATTTTTAATTCTGTTCTTTCAAATTAGGAATGTGTGCATGCTAAAAACACTCAGAATTTCTCTTAACACCATTCTTGGAGGGGAAAAATATAAGCGCTTGGGGAAAGAATTGGTCCCATGATGGCTACCGTGAGCCTGGTATTCAGAAATAGAGGCTAGAGAGCTAGAGGAAAGGTCTATCTACTGCATTTTAATAGAACATCTGAAATGACTTAATTGTTCCTCTTTCTATTCTCTTCAGCATAGTTTGACTCCTGGCAGATTTTAATCATCTTAAAGCATATATATTCCTTTCTCTTAATTTTTAGGTTATTTGTTGTGATAGAGAATCATCCTTAAGATTTAAACTTATGATTAGATCATAACTAGGGGAAAAAAACTGGCATCTATGTGCAGGTGATCGGATGACATAAGCAGTCTGCTTTTAATTTGTGGCCAGTACTGATTGTAACTAAGAGAGACTTGCTCTTTTTGTGGAATTGGCTGACTATTTCCCTCCATCTGGAGTTAATAAAATCTTTGAGACCACATCAGTTGTGCTTTGCCGCAAGAACTCTTTGATCTGAAGAATCAAGACTGGCACAACTGCTGCTTCATAACATTGCATCCATGTTTTTCTAAGCTATGGTTAAGATACCAAAAGCAAAGATATTTAGCCCATGTTGGCCGGGCCTCTTTGAGAACTGTGTATTTCAAAATATTTTTATTGTAAAAATTGTGAATTTGTCTTAGTATATAAGTGATAATGTAGAGGATTGTGGATTTCTGTTTGTTTTTACTATTTTCATTTATAAGATCTATCCTTTAAACGTCTATTTCTCCAAAGTCTGTTTGTGAAGACTAGTATTAAAAGCAAACTTTACCTCTAAAGTGTGCCCCATTTTTTCCATGCAACCTGAAAATTTTTGAGTAAGAGATAGCAAGTCTCTTTCTCTGCTTTGTGTGATTTATCTTATTTTCCTTGCTGTCCATGACAGCTATCACATAACCTAGATCTGATCAGCACATTCTTCTTTCTTTAGCAGCAATGTGTAAATCAGTAAAGCCAGCTTTATCCCTCTGCTTCCTTTTGTAATTGCAAACATTTAAAAAATTTGAAAGCGTAAGTTTTATCATGTGTGGAATACAGTAAATTGAATGCAAATAAAAGTAAAAAGTTTAAATGACAAATTATGTAGAAATTTAAACTGATATATGACACCTTAAAATTGGACTTTTTTTTTCTTCATAATTATCAAACGTGAAAGGCTTACATAGTGATTCAGTCTAAAACCTGGATAGAATTAGAGAATTTTATATTTCATACTTTCAGGTCAAGTATGATGTATACAGTAAAGTACATGTTTGTGATAAAAAGTATATGTTCAAATCTGTGCACAGTGGCTCACGCCTATAATCCTAGCACTTTGAGAGGCTGAGGCAGATGGATTGTTTTCAGCTCAGGAGTTCAAGACCATGCTGAGCAAGAGCAAGACCCCATCTCCAAAAAAGAAAAGAAAAAATAATAGTGAAAATAAAATAAAATTGAGAAATAAATGAATTACTGCAATATAAACAAAAAAAGTGTATGTCCAGGTGCTGTCTTCTAAATTTGATTCTCATTTGTATTTTCTGATGAGGTCTGTAAATTTACTCTATTTTTTGTTTATGGTTTTAGCTTGTCTTGGAGAAATCTATATGCAAAGGGGACAGAGGACTCTAGTGATGGCTAAGTTTAGATTTTTTGATTAAAATACTATAAAGTTCCTTTCCTGAAAACTTTACCTACCTGTCAGTCCGTGTAATGGATTACAAACTCATTTATACAGTACACCCAATTATTTCATTTGAACACAGTCATTTATGATGGCTTTAAGCTAGAAAAGTATGGTTGCTGCATATAATAAACAAACCATTTTACCTGCCATGTTCACCTAACAAGGATCCTTCTGGATAGTTTTTTATATGATATCATGTCCCAAATTTCTCAGGTAGCAAAGATGTTTGCTTTTCCTTTGGGATGTGAAACGCAAGAAATCTAAACGACAGTCCACTAAAAAGACGTACAGTGCTAGTATGATCAGGACTAGCAAGAAGGATAGAAACAGACTTTTTAACCTTTTATATAGGATAAACTTTATATATGGGCAATATTTAGTAGCATAACTGCTCCTAAGTAGAATGATACAAAGGTAATATAACATTAGCTAATACTTGTTGATTGCTGACTTTGTATAAGGCACTGTGTTAAACATTCCCTATATATATGTCTCCTCTGATCATTCCCCCCACCTCCTGGTACAGATACTATTGGCACCATTTTATAAAAGAGGAAATTGAGTCTTGGAAAGGTTAGGGTAATTTTCCAGAGGTCTTTACATTTAGCGTCTCAGAGAAAGAAGAAATTAATGTAATTTATAATCTATGTAAATAAAATAATTGGACCCTTATTTTAATCTTTTTTTTTTTTTTTTTTTTGAGACAGAGCCTCAAGCT